AGGTCCAATGAAATATTGTTACCTTTACCACCATACTTATTGTAAAACCTGTTCCATTTCCATCTATGGGCATCAAATTCTGGGAGTATAGCAACAATCTTTAGAAGGTGAAGCAGGACAAAATAGGCATATTTTGTGTGTTTTTCACTGTGATAGAGCAACAGAGCAAGCTTATATAAAACAAATAGGTGTTCACCATCCCCTTCTCTGATAGTATCATTAAAATCTCTTAACAGCAAGCCAAACATGAGCTTTGACTGATGATAGTTAAATTTATAGTCAGACTTTGGCAAGATGCAGTTGTCATCCTGAACTTCATTATCTAGTTGTTCAAAGTCTCCATATTTGTCTCTCAAGTGTCTGTAATTACAAAAACATAATGAATATTATATAGAATAAAAATGTTGCAATAATAACAATGAAGGAGATTAAATGTAAATTAGTGCAAAACTGAATAAAATATAATTATATGAAATATATTGCAACATTCAGCTTTGCACTAATTTACATGATACTGTATATGGTACATGCAGGTACATACTGTACAGTCAGTGGTACTGCAAGTTTAATCTCCTTCATTGTTTATGTTTTGTCAATTAAAAGTTTAGGAACAACGTGGATTTGTCATATCATTATATCATTTAGGTTGCCATATCATGACCAATTTCTTTGTACCTGTTTTGGGCTGTTTTTGTACTGAACACATATCCACATCCTGCTGCACAATTGTAGTACCCAAATTCATCCAGATCCGCTGCAGTGCACTCATTGAATTTTGTTCCATGTACATCTATTTCATGTCTTGAAAAGGAAAAAGGACAGATAGAATGCTTTCAGACACAGGTTATCTGATTAAAAGACAGTTTACATGTCAGTAGTTTATTTGATTTTTAAGTTCATTGAGGGTTCATCTGTGCATCAGCAACTGAAAATATGGTAATGTTTTTTGTTGTACACAAACACAGAAAATGCAAATTATTCAGTGATTATTTAACTCATTGAGTGGGAGAACTCTCCCCCTGATGAGTAAAATCTTCTGGTATTAGACAAAGTAAAATAACAAATCAGGGCACATCTGGGCATACAGGGTTTTTTTCAGGGATTTTTTAGGGCCGTTAAACGGCCCCAAAAACTCAATCTTGAATTTAGTTTTGAAACTCAATCTTCTCACCAAAGTTTCAGTGCAGTAAAAATGAATTTGTTTGATTTAAATTTGTGACGTGTGGAAATTAGTGTTCAGTTGGAAACCCGACAATTAAGAAAAAATGGCTGGAATTCATCTCACAACACAAGAAAAACTATGCATTCGCCATCTTTAACCAGTTTATAGTGTCCCCCAGTGCCCCTACTTTAACACATTCCGTCTCAACTACATTTAGTGAATACAAGTGTCAGCCCCCCGGTAGGGGGGGGGGGCGATGCAGCTACCCAGTTGTTCAGCTAAACTCAATCTTCTCTGCACAAACGGACCCAAGAGAAAATCCTGAAAAAAACCCTGGCATATTGCCATTTAAAGGGTTAGTTTGCAGTGATCATCAACTTGGGCTGTGATCAACACATTGAGTGACAGCACGGTCCCATCAGGGCACATTGCTATTTAAAGGGTTAATGATGTTGGTGCAGCGATACTGTAAAAACAATGTTGTGCTTATCACTGCACAAATAAGATTATAGCTCCAATGCAGTTTAAATTAATTGTGCTACTGAACATGGATTATTTCAAATATTTGTGCAGTGATATAAAGTTCTTGAAATAAACCCAGTAATATAATAGTTTAATTTCATACTTTATTCTCTGTGAGTGTTGGTTGTAGATCTTGTGACAATCATCTTGTCTGCAATGAAATGGACCACCTAAGGCTCTTTGCAGATCATCAGCTTTTTGAACAAAATCAGTTATTTCCCCTGAGCCGAAGAGGTGGGTTTTTACTAACTGCTCACAAATGAGAAGCAGCCACTGTGATTTGGCATCTCTTGGCACTGTGTCATCTGGAAGATCATATGACGGAAGTGCTGGAAAATATAATACATACAGGAAAGGAACATGCTTTTTTTTACTCACAAAAGCAGGCACATATTGAACAGACTTGAATTGAAGAACTTCTCTCCTTGCCCTTTATGTTTTTTACCCACTGATGAGTGTTTTTACCCCCATTTCATTCTCCAACATCCTGACATAATTATTTTATATCCTATTACACTGCAAGAATTTGCAGTAAGTATAAGTATACTCACATTCCATGGTAACCATATCTGACATTTCCATGAATGCAGCACATATATGTGCCTCCACCTCTCTGTCATTAAACTCTTTGTACTCGTTGTATTTCTTATCGATGCCTTGAGCAGCAGTTGTCTTCCCAGTTCTGTTCACACTTGAACGTGTTGTGCCTAATTCACCTGCAGAGCTACTTTTCACAAATCTATCAAATTCAATCTATATTGTTCAACGAAAAGAGGATATTGCAATATTTGAAAATGCTTTTCAAAAAATTTTATTTCCTTAATTGACCTTGTACTTTTTTGTGTAAGATAAAGTAGTCAAATGCATTTATATATACTGTACACTTAAATACTGTACAGTAAATTTTTCAATGCACAGGGTGGTTATCAAACTTTTACTCCTTTTTTAAAATTAGAACATTAAAATCTTCACCCATAAATATATAGACCAATGAATTTATTACCTTGTACAATGTGACCTTTGCATGCCAATCAGCAAATTCTGTACTAAAACCCTCCAACTTATCAAACTTGTTCTCTCCAACTCTGTAAGTCCACTGAACATTCCTTGCCCGTTCTTCAAAAAGTTGATCACCATGCATAGCAACTGGACTGATTATTTCTTTATTCCTTGTATTGTTAATAAATGATGGTACATATCTATCTTGGTTGGAAATCATGAGCTGTGCCATTTCCCCAGATATGTTTGCATTTACAAACTCCAAATCCAGGGAACACTACAACAGAGAAGTATCTAATATGAGTATATTCGAATGTGATGTTATTATATATTAAATGCAATATTCTGCATGTACTGTGCTATAGTATTCCATTTTAAGCTATGAAGCAACATTTAACTTACAATTTCAGACTTCTGTGCCATTTCAGTGGAGTATTTATGTGGAATGTGCCATAATGCATGGTTATTGAGATACCGAAATTCTTTGAGGTATGTGGTAATAACTCGGCTTACAAGCACAGCCCATCGCTTTTGCAGTCGTAAGCAAGTGGCTTCATCTGGAAGCAAGCTTGAAAGTTGGATTTTATTTACTGGTTTCTGCCTTTCGGTTGTCTCCAATGTACGATCTACAACTCTGTCTCTGATGCCTTATTTTTCACCCAGCTCGGTTTCCTTTGTTCTTATCGGGGAATATATTCAATATTCTCCTCTAATCAATTTCCGTTTAATAATCCCCTCTAATATTCACCTGTAATTAATAATCCCCTCTAATATTCACCTGCCATGTCTTTGCAGCACAAAAAATGAGAAAAAACAACATCGCGAAGGCAATGTGGCATTAAGAATTATTTCTTTTCTGACTCATTAACGCGACCTCGCAGTGTGAAAAATAAGTACATTATTTTGAGGCACCTCGGGGATATGTGTTTATTCACCTCGGCGCTGTGCGCCTCGGTGAATAAATCACATATCCCCTCGTTGCCTCAAAATAACCTATACATATTGGTGGGTCCAGTGTATGGATTGGTTATTGTGTGATTTGCTTTGTACTCTAGCATGAACTTCAAAGTCTAGGTTGTCACCAACAATCCTTTAAATCAAAATCCAAAATGCCTGTTATCCCATTTATTTTAACATATAAGACAGGTGATTTTTGACCACTATCTTAGGAGGGTGGGGGATGCCACAATAAACCCTTCTGAAATGTACTTAGCCTTGGCTATTAAGCCTTGTTTTCGGGATTGAGATATTGGCTTCAGAGCCCTTTATCTTGTTACGGATGATCAAAATATATCAAGGTCTTTTACTATATATTATCTAATATAACTGTACGAGTATATATGTGTCCATCTCCAAAAAGGTAAAAGACTCTAAACCTAATATCTCGAATCATGAAAATGAGGCTTTATAGCCATTTGAAGCTGAGCACTTATGGAAGCATGTATTTCTTGGGGGAGGGGGAGGTACAATGTAAATACTTGGGTATGGGCCTATGGGTGTGGCAATGTAAATAAATGTCGTACATGTACTTATAAATGATAATTCGGCCAATTTGTAGAATTTTTGCTAAATATAAACCAAACATGCGAATATACTCACTTGTAATAGGGGATTTCTTGTCCTTTAAGCACATCCAATGCTGCCTTTAAAACATCATCAGTTGTCTGGCATTCATTCAACTGTTCCTTAATAGGTACAATAACTGACAAACAGTAACTGAATATGTCCTTGTTATAAAACTTGTAGTGTTGCAGTGATTCCTCATTCATGTCTACTGTACGATTCAGTTCCATGTCATCCTCTGCTAACGGCGGCAGTTTTGATATAACTTCCTGTAACAACATACAAGCAGACTCGTTTTTCTGCACCTCTCTCTTCCACACCTGCAGTTTTGCATCATGTTCCTTCCCCATCTCCCTCTGGAGGTTGATCATTCTCTGGGGAGACATGCATATTCCCAACTTATTGAGCAGGACTGCTCCGTCAAATTACACACCACTGTGACATAGCACGGTTGAAACACGGTAGTGGAATGCAGATAAATCTTTAATTCTTTTACGTGCTACTATGGCAGTGGTTAAAGCAATTGCACTCACGGCATCCTTGCCACAATTAATCTTTTCTCTGCAGGATCCACAAACGCATGCATTCCAAAATGGTAAGTACACTTCGACCTCTTTCGCGAGCAGCTTGTTTGAAAATGCGACGAGTTCGTCGGGTTTTCGTCCCTTAAGTATAGTATCTGATTTGCAGAATTCTTTAAACTCTCTATTGACATTCCGGTTCAGAGCCTCAAGTAGCTCTGGCAGGGCATCCTTGTGGGAAATAAACACGTTTGTTGCTGCTTTCCAATTTTTTAGCGCAAGATTTTTAACAATTCCAATCGTTATCTTGTCTTGTGGTGTTGTTACCTTGATATCGCCATTGGGTGACAAAATCAGAACTTTTACCCTTGTCGTTTGGCACTCAATAATGTCTTCAATGTTCAAATGAGAGAGTATATTGTCATCATTTTCTTTATCGTTACAAGATAAAATCTGTCTCCTTGATACAGGAGTCCGAAGCTGGTTCTCAATAGGTGTATCAACACTGTCTGCCTCTGCTGAAATTCGCCTTGCTTTTCTTGATGGACTTTTTCCCGGAGTCAACTGCAAAAGACGTTTGGCGGCCGTTATCTCTGTAGATATAGCTGTTTCTGGCCCGGGCTTATTAATTTCCGATGATAGAAAGGTATACAAATCTATAAATGTTTTTATTTTCCTGCTACACGATGGACAACTTCTCGTAGACAAGGAGGAAATTTCCTTCAGCTGTAGTCCGGACTGCTCGCAGACACTAGCAACAACAATACCTCTGAATTCCGCTCTATTTGTTTGCTTAAACATGTTGACAAACGACACCCCAGAGAACCGTATTTATTTTTAAGAGAGCACTTACACGCTCTGCAATAGTCATCAACAGATGCTGCTTTAGGTTTCCTTCCTTTTCGCAAATAAATTTTCGTTGGAGTTTTCGGGGCTATATCAGCCATTGCATTTTGCAAACTTTGACAATTTCACACGTGCGCGAAGTATATCTGTTTGTTTTCATTACATATCAGGGTCATACTTCCGGCCATATGTTCCGGCTTGTATCTGATTGGTTGGTTATTTTCATCGCGGAATGTAGGCGGAAATTACAATTAAGTGGGTGGAACATTAAGGCCGGTTGCAGGCGCTTTATTTTTCCCCTTTCCCCCTTCACCCGTTTTTCCCCTTCGCCGTTTTTTTCTCCACTCTTTTTTTCGCATTGAAAAAATCCTCAAATAAAAATATCCTCAAATAAAATAAAAAAAAAATAAAGCGACTGCTACGCAGGCTATAATCGACAGCAAGCCAGCATCATCTAATTATAAATGTAAATACTTTTTTCGATATCTCAGTACAGTATATGAATAAAATATAATGTCTGCAATATTAATCTTGACTCTTTTCTGCATGGCTTATTTTTTTATTTTATTGGCTTAACTATAACAATTGTAAATGGAATACGAATGGAAGTTGTGTAAATTGTTAGCTGATTTCTGTTAGCTGGACTCCTTGAACTTTGAGTTTAATATGTAGTTAAGTTAGGGATAACTCCAAAAGTGGAACAGCTCAAAGGAACTTTTTGCATTCAAGGTATGTATATTTATGTTTTCTTCAAATTCTCTAAACTAAAGGTGAAGAACAATGATGTTTTAACTCATTAACTGGCAAGCTGTTACAATGTTACCACCCCCTAAAGTGGCAAGCAATATGGCGAATTCATGATTGAATTCCAAGCTTTCACCAAAATGCCAATATCTCAGAAACAATTGCATAAAAAAGTCTGATCTTTTCAACCAAACATGAATGATATATGATTGACCAAATTTAGTTTAGATGACCTTGCATACCTATATATATCATTAGTTTTTTCAGTCAGTATTTTTATTTATAAAGCAGTGACACTTTGGTTTTCATGTCACTCATCACCTAAAGGGGCAATATCTCCATAAATTTATATAAAAACAAAAACAAAATTCATTTACTAAATTAATACATATCTATATTACAACCAATTTTCATCTTTTGGGATATGAATTACGAAATTATCAAAAAAATTAAAAATTACTTCTTTGCTTTTTTGGGGCATCTTGTTTACAAGTTCAACAAAGTGTGCAAGCCAAAACACAGTGTTTGTACATCTTTAAAGTTTTTTGATTGCTTCAAATATATTTAAAAGGACACATAGTGCTTAAATTTATTTATTTTAATATAAACCAAGGATCGGAAGGTGAGAAAATGGGAATTTTCTGAGGTGTTTTTAACACAGACAATGACAGCCGACATTTTGAAAGGCACTCTGCGGTGACAAAACTAAAAGCTATTCACTTCTGTACTCAAAGCACTGAAAAGCATCATAAAGAGAAAAACACTTTAAACACATGTCAGGTAAGACTTTTAGCTCAATATTTTCGTGCTTCTATTGGGAAAGCAACAGTTTAAAAGCCAAAATTATTTTGCGCGCCAATGTATAGGCTGCTATAAAATGTCAGCCAGGCGGTTTCTTTTGAAGTCTGGCTCTGAAAAACAATCTCTTTTTTTGAGTTTGAAATAAGCCTTCATAAGGACTATTGTGTAGAAATGTTATCTATATGCTCACATGAAAAAGATAACCTAATATTCAGGTATTCCACATAGCTATAAAAGGGTGAAATAAGAACTTTCATCTTTGCTTGTTTGTCAGACGAGAGAAACCACATTAGTGCCATTTTGTCGCGCGTGCTATTTTATAAAATAAACACCTCAAAACCATAAACTTTTAGTTCAGAAAATTACAAAGTTTCCCATAGAGATTATTAAAAATGTTCTAGTGAAGCGATTTCATGATAAATAAGTGAGCAATGGGCCCAAATGAACTGCTAAGGTTGGTTTTTGTTAGGACTTCAATTTCATGGCTTCCCGCAAAGGAAGCCATTTCAGAGAGAAGCGACATTTTGCAAACAACCCTCGCCACCTATTTTGATAACTTTTCCTTCTGATTCAACGTGTAGTTACTAGAAAATGATGTTGCATCAAACATTATTGTCTGCTTTATCGATTTAAAGTTTTATAGGGGATATAAAAAACAGTAAAAATGCATTTTGAAAGCTTTACAACTCAAGTGCGGATTTTTTGAATATTCGCACGCGGCAAGCAAGCGGGTTTATTCAATACACTTATTTTACACCACAATACGTCTGAAACGAGTTGTCATTTTAACACTAAATTGATGAAAATAGATATAACAGTGATTTTGGAATATCCTACTTATTTAGTGTAATTTAATACTCGAAGCATTCTTGCCAAAAAGGTCGAAAAGGTCACGTACGCACACAGTAAGTGTCGTTTGAAATATACTTTAGCTAAAATAACAACTTGAACAAGAAGACCAACAATGGGGTCACGAAAACAGTCGAAATTGCGCCCAAATTTGCATAAACAGTTTGTCTAAAAAGATAACTTTAAACTAGATTGAACCAACATTAATGCGGTCGAATTTTGTGAGTGTTTGATCGCATATTTCTACTCAAAAATACCCTTTAAAAAATCGTATCTGCTCACTTGAGTTCCGTGTTCATCTTTCTTGTGATTTCCGACTTCTATTTTTAATAAAGTTTGGAGAAATCCTCATCTTTTTGGCTGAAAATCTCGCGCATGGTTCACAGAAGAACTTGGCCCCAAAACGTCAATACATTTGCTTTCCTTTCATGCCAAATTTTCGTTGTAGATGATTCAAAAACCTCTTCTTTTTTCTCTTTTAAAACTTGCTGTGAAATCCGTCTTTGCAACAATGTCGCCATTATTCATTATTTTTGAAAAACTAAGGTTTTAAACTTGAAAAACTTTGCGAGTTTTTGGCCGATTTTCTTGCATGATACATCGTTGAAAAGCTCGAATTTCGCGTTCTATTTTCGTATCCGTTGCTAGGCAACCCGATAAACACGTGCTCAAATATCATGCCCGCAAGTTGAGGTGTCATTTGAGGGCGTATTGCCAGTTACCCACTTGCCAATCTCAGGGCGCATCCGGGCGCATTGCCAGTTAATGAGTTAAGTGAGTTTATTGCAAGGGGTTTTTAGTCACACAATCGCCAAACAGTGATTTTGCATATTTAATGAACCAAAGTTAACTCTTTCTCAAAGCGTGTGAATTTATTTGCCCAAAATAAATAATACATTTCTGAAAAGGGCAGTTTTGCAATAGTGCTTGTGCAAAATCCCATAAGATTTGAAAGGATGGCAAATGGAGAAATCTGCCACTTTTTACATGCAATGACAAACATTAAAAATCAGTACCCGTCGCTGTTTATTGTGCACAAATGTGTTCAGTTGTTCAATTATCATAAAACCACTATTAATAAACGAGGGAGTGATGTAGCTTTAACAGAAAGTATAATAAGGCTATTTGGATTTAGGGTTTGGATACCAGGATTAAGTAAACATATACGCAATTTCGGCAATTTTTCGATTGCGAAAATCGGTCCTCACAGCTGAAACATTTTTTTGCCTTTTTTCATAAACAAAAGAGTATTTTTAAAAACTAACCACATAATGTTTCTCACTTCACCATAGTCAACTTATATTCAAAAGTAAAGCGAATTTAAAATTTTGAGCCTTGCCACATATTTCTCATTTTGTTTGATTTTTGTAGACAGTCACTCTTAAGCTGTTGCGGTGTCCCAGCTTCTTTAATGTAATTATTGTATGATGTTTGGAAGTGAAGCACAATAAATAAATAAATAATAAATACAGAAGTTGTATGTGCATTCTACAGGCTACAAGAAATCAAGAAGTCATTTCAGAAATGAGGCCAAAATGCTCAACAATCACCATGCAAACACTTTCCCCTTGACAAGTAGTAAAATCGTCTGGAGTAATTAACCCATTGAGTGGCGATGCACCCTACTTTAGTATTTTACTCTATCTAATGCCAGACGATTTCACTCTGTCTAACGCCAGACGATTTTACTCGTCAAGGGGAGAGCGCTTGCGCTGAATGGGTTAAAACAATGAAAAATGAAATAGTCCACAGATAGGTGCTGTAATTAGTGTAATTACAGGTCCACTTAGAGACATGGCAGACAGTTTTCATAATTGAGGGACAGCTAACTTAATTGGCAATGTGTCCAGATGTGCCCAATTTCTATGCGCAGAATACACATTTTAAACTCGCTCGAGTCTTCGAATTTTTGTGGTCGTGCGCAATTTCTATGCACAGAATACACATTTTAAACTCGCTCGAGTCTTCGAATTTTTATCGAATTTCTAAAGCTTTTTCATGTCTAATGTTACACTTACATTTGTTTTGGACTTGGCCACTGTCAGTTCTATATTTCTATAAAATTTTGGTTTCTTAGTGTGATAAATCTGTGTATATAGTCTATATAATGTGGTAAATGCACCTAGCAGTAAACAGACTTGATATGAAATCTGATCTTAATTTACCTGTATGTCAATGAGACGCACATGTTTAATTAATGACATTAATATCTGTCACCTCTGATTGCCCTTTAACCCCTCAGGTCTTTGCTACATGCAGTACTTCAATATATATTGCTTCTTCTCATTTCCATTCACAGCTCACTAGTCGCTGCGAGTAATCACTGTGCTTGATATAATTTGTGCTCTTTACTGTGGTTCTATTTGCTTTTAATGCCCGCAGCAATCCCTACCTTACAGGTACCCTAGTTTTATCCTGTCTAATACCAGGCATTTTTCCTTTAACTGATATTCAAGAGACAAACAAAATTATGTATTTTCACTGTACCTTCAGCTGTATTCCCACTGTTGTGACATACAGTAGTAAGCTAAATGGAAGCTGATATTTGGTTCTTTTCATTG